CTTAATTTTAATGATCACGTACCAACTTGCTAAAAGCTAAAAGATGGTGAACTGTTGCCGGTCTGTTAGTTTTTCGTCAGCCAACTGTTGGCTGCCCCATTATCAACTGGGTTAATCTGATGGTTCATAGTGGGCTAACAGTCAACTAGTAATGGTCACTGATGAAGCTTTGTTTGTATTTCCTGCAAAGCACTCTTGCCTGAGTGAAACATTTTGTTGTCGATGCTGACCACATACCACGGTCTAAAAAAATTAATATTAGTTCCTTTTTTACCTTCCAGGATAGTAACTTGCAGGGAAATCAACCTGAAAGAGGTCATGATACTAGGTATGAGTAATACAAGTCATGTACTTGGATTTACAATACTAAGCAACTGCCACAATGGCTTGTGGCAGTTAGTTGCTCAAGTTGTGCTGATGCTACTGTACCATCTTTCTGAATGCCAGCAATCAGATCTGACTCACTGGAAGTTAAATCATGAGACATGTTAGAAACAATAATTATGGCAAGAAACTTAAGGATGGAGTATAGCAAATGGGAGTGGACTGCCACGATACATGTATGTCTCAGAATGATAGGGACAGAGTAGTACATTTGTAAGAGGATCCGTACTCAACGTCTTCATATAATATCATGAATGTGTTTCTGACAAAGTCCTTTCTTCATTTTCATTGAAAGGAGGTCCATTGTTGAAAAGAACAGAGATGGAACAGGATCACGCCAGATTGCACGTGTAACCCCATTTCTGTCCAAAAGGTGAATATTTATAAATATTAATGTAGCTGTCATCAACTAAAATCATCACAAAGGGTGGTACTGCATGTTCAGACTGTTCATATGGTTTACACACTGTAATATTTGCCCTGTCAATGTTTGTTATTTTTGGGTTATGCAAAAGCCTCCTTTGTCATATATAAGTACTTTGCTCTCTGAGTGGCTTGTGGATGAGAGAGACAAGTGTTCATTATTACAAGTGCAACTGGTACTTTTTATTTGCAGTTCAGCTGGAAATGAGTTTTCCTCAAGATCACAAGAGGAAGTTCTACCTTTTGTGTCCCCTATTCAGCACACACCTGTTGTCATAAATGATGATGATGATGATGACTTTGAAGCAACAGCTGGTAAATTTGTAGTGTTAGTTACATGACCATTCTATTTCTGAACAGTAGTTGTAATAACAATTCCATTTGTAGGAAATAAACATTAAGAAAACAGCTTTAAAAATCCCATGAGGCTTGATAACCCTTAATAGTCAAGATGTTAATCATTTATTTCCATTTGGTCTTGGCAATGCACGGCCATGAACCTTCGAAAAATCGAGGTGTACTTATTCTGGACTCTCACTTTTTTGATTACCGTAAATTATCTAGCTAGTTGGTACTTAATTTCACGGGTGCTTTATTTCGATATTTTGTGGCAAGACAGTATTTCACTGGGTTCTATTTTCATGATTTGATCCAAAAATATGAAAAAAGGGCATTTCATTTCATTTATTTGCTGGTCTTTAATTCTGCAATTTTTTGGCAGTCGCAAATACAAAAAACAGGGTTTAAAAATCCCACAATATTTGATAACCCTTAATAGTCAAGATGTTAATCGTTTATTTCCATTTGGTTTTTGTAATGCACCATTAACCTTCAAAAGGTTTGAGGTGTATTCTTTCTAGATTCTCAAATCTTTGATTTCTGTAAATTATCTACCTTGTTGGCACTTAATTTCAAGGGTACTTTATTTGGATATTTTGGCCAAACAGTATTTCACAGGGTTTTATTTTTGCGAATTACAGTAAATAGGAAAATATGAAAAAAGGGCGTTACATTTGGTGAGAATTTTTATTTTCGGCTCTTCAATTTTGCAATTTTTTTGCAAATGTGAATAACGTGAAATTATGCACCACTAAGGTAATAAATGCCCAGAACATTTATTTAATTGTATGGGTCCAAGAGGGGGCATAATAGATGGGAGACATTTAAAACAGAGAGATTGTTATTGTCATAACAGAGATAAGATCAACAAAAGTAATATGCTTTCGGCAAAAATATGAAGAGAGGTTCAAGGTAGTAGATTATTCAGTCCATCTATGGATATGTCAAGGTTGTCTAGACATCCATTATTGCTCTTTCAAAACTCAACTGTGATGCCAGAATCCTCATTCACGGTCATTGGTTTTCATCGTTAGCATATCCTTACTTTGTACATCGAACAAAACGTATACCTGCCAAATCTAATTGATTGATCTCACTCATCGAGGACAATTTCTCACCCCTGACTCACAAATCCAGAGAAATTGTTCTTCAGCACATGATATATAGCAAAAATTCAATTCAATTTCCACGAAAATATTCAAAAAAGGCGTTTAAAGATGACTTTGCATCATAAGGAAATCAAAACACGCTAAAGTTGTCATCTCTTGAAGCTTCGGAAGTGCTCAAATGTTGTCGGAATATCTATGGACGTTTTCGACAACGTTTGGTAGTCTTTCAGAAAATCATCAGACGTTGCTGGGGTGTTTTCGTAAATCCTGGTTATGACAAGGCAAAAATCTCACTCATTTGACTCAGAAAAAGTTGTTAATCAAGCATGAAACAGCATAAATTGAATGATTTTGCTTCTTTTTTGCTATATGCTGGCGTTGTGGAGTAACTATCATGGGGGCGTTTATTAGAGAGGGTTGTCTAACAAACTAGCATTGTAAGGGGACATTCATTAGACAAGAGGTATTTTTTTCAGAATGGTTTCAATTAGATCATGAATGGTAGCCCTGATTCTCAAATGTAAATGTTTTTATGTAGAACCTCCTTTGTCAAAGAAACTAAAGCTGTTGAAAGGTAATTCCAGCAAAAGTGAGGAGACATCTATGCTTAGCAAGGTAAGATGCCAAAAATTAACTGATTCTTGACAAACATGGAAAACGGCAATGTTGATGCTATTGAGTGTTGAAGGACATGGCAAAATTTTGGTCCAGTAGTGCAGTGCTTGTAGAGTGTTTTCAGTGCAAGTGCAAGGAACATTAATCTGGGTAATTTTTTTAGAGAAAGCAATGTGTGGCAGGCATAATCTCAAAGAAACTGTAAATGTAAGGGTTTTTATATTTTAATGTATATGTAAGGTGATGTGAGCATTTGAAGGGCTTAATGGCAAGCGGAAAAAAGGAGCGTAAGTAATGATTTTGCCTTGAAATCCATCTTGCTCCAAACCAACCCTCAATTGGCAAGACTTGTTATCTTGTTTTGAGTGCTGTTGTAATTATTATTTGAGTACAGAAACAAACCAGCTCCAAAAAGTGTTTGAAGTGATGTCATCTGATCAAATCCTCAAGAATGTGGCCAGTTTTGCATGGTGGGGGTCACTAGGGAATTGTAAAACAAATTTTCCATGGTAATACATGTATGTATCCGGATAACATACAACATTTTAGGTCTCCAAACCAAACAATCTTGCCTTAACTGTTTCCCTTTTGATTAATTAAAAAAAGGGAGCTCTATGATTTCAAACATAAAATAAAACCACTGTGGTGCTAAAATTATGTACCAACTCAGCTAAACTAAATTAAAAGGTTTTTAACATCAGTGCTTTTAACACAGGATAGTGGTATTGTAGAAGCAATAAATGAAGACAATGATGTCAGTGACGGTTTCAATGATATGGCAGATGTACTCTTCAGCTGTGACTTCCAGAATGATGCTGATGCTGTTTCTGTTGAGGAGGTATGTACTAATTTATTAGATGGGTGTCACACATACCATATGTCCTCAATTAAGTGCCTACACTCCAATAAGCGCCCTCCCCTATATTAGCGCCCACCCCCAAGGCCATTATATAAAATAAGTACCCCCTGGAAAAAGTGCCCCCTCTCCTCCCCCTCACCATCTTCTATTGCCACCTTATTTTTAACTTTTCAGTTTTGACTACAGTGGAATCAGTGAAGGAGAATAGTTTCATTTCTGTTAGGTCACTTCCAGTTATTTCTACATCTATGTGCTTGCAGAGTTCTTTATGTGCATTCTCTCTTCTTTTAATTTTTATCGTATTGCCTCACTATTGGTAATTGCTGTAAACTCCCCCGGAACAACAAGACCTTTCTCTAGTTCATTCAAAGGAAAATGCAATAAGCCCCCCCCCTCGATTAAGCACCCTCCTTTGAATAAGCGCCCATCCTTTTAGCTGAAATTTGAGATAAGCACCCGGGAAGGAAATAATATTATGGTATCTCTAAGTAGACCACCCACCCACAAACAAGGGGAGTGGTGAGGCCTCTGCCATTTGGTATCAGTCAACTTGAATGGTTGTGAAAATGCTTAATTGCTGTATGTTACCCTTTGCATTTAAGCAATAGAAAACGTTTTGCGTGTTTGCATAGCCTGATGTAAACACGAGAAGGGTTGGGAGAATTCGAGACAGTTATGCAAACCCAAGACGAAGTTGAGGGCTTGCATAACTGTCGTGAATTCTCCCAACCCCTCGAGTATTTATATCAGGCCATGCAAATACAGGAAAAAAGTTTTCTATTGCTTTTAATTAATTTCCCTGAGAAAAACCACAACTCTTTGTTATGGCACCAATTAAAAGAGAAATTCCCACTAGTGGCGAAGTCTTGTACTCAAAGTCTTGCATGCGTAATCAGTTCTTGTTTTGCAAAAAGATGCTTTCCAAACTACGAATTTTTCTCGCTTAAAATGTCAGCTTAAGCGGAAAAAAATTGACACAGCATGTTTGTAAAGATTTTTTAAGTTTCAGCCGACAAGGGAATGGGTAAATAAAGTAAGGTTGTCCATTTTTGGACTCAAAAAAGTTTTCACATTTGTGCTTGCGGGACTAGCGCACGAAAAACAAAACATCTTGACATCACAACCATGACTTTGTTTACATACTCTCATGCAAACACGCCTCTCAGCCTATCAGAGCATGCATACTATCTTAGTTATGTTATAATTGCTGGCCCTTCTCATTTTTGTTGTACTGCTCATTTTCATTGTTTTCCATATGCTAATTATTGCAGTTTCACATATTATATTCCATTGATGGAGAGATACAAAGATTTAATTTATATCTTAAATCATTTACATCTGTGTATAATCTTTTCCAGCGAGCAGGAGATGGATTGAGCACTTGTAGTACTGGGGCAAACCTGTTCAATAACACTGTCCCTTTTGATGTCGATGAACAGTCAAATAGTTTACCTGCTACTGAGGCTTTGTCACCCCTAGACAGTCCCCAGCCCCCGGATGACTTGACATTGCAGAATAGTCCACTCAGCATGGATGTGTTCTCACCACCAAACAGCCCACCACCCCCAGAGTACTTCTCACCACCACCATCCCCTACAGTACCACTCTCACCAGCAAATATAGTTGACCAGGATATGCCATGTGAGGATTTCTCTTGTAGGTAAGTGCCTTTTCAGACTGAATTGACAGCATTCATTCTATTTTCCAGTTTCAAATTAAAAAATAGAAGAAAAAACGAACACTCTCACCCAAGATAAATTTTCTATTCTTTTCATGTTTATGCTTTTCCATTTGTTGCTTGTCAACACATTGACGATTCTCTGTCTCTTTTGGTACTTTTGCTGATTATGCAGTTTGACTATTTATTGCATGGCTAACCCTTTTGTGACAGCATCTGATCCATTTAGTAGAAGCAATAACCTTTTTGTCTTCTTGAAATAGAAACTGAATTACGCTCTGAAGGTGTGGGCCCTTGTAACCTGTGTTTAGCCTTAAAAGGTTCTGTAATCTCATTAACCAGGTGGCTTACATGAACTCTCTGAAGCATGATGTACAAATACAGCCTAATCATATTCTTAAACTTGCCTTTACATTTTAGAGAAGTCCAGGAAGTGTTATTTCATTGCCGAGCAGTACCACTGACTTCCCTGGATTAATATGACTTTTTCTTTCAGAAACAAGGGAGTGGAATCCACTGATGAATTCAGTGCAAGGCAACAATTATCAAAACCTGTAAGAAACAGTTTGAGATAAAAAAGAACAAATTTTCTTCCAGCTTGTCCAAACAAGCGACAAGGGATTTCCTTTGAAGCTGCTCTTTTGCACTTTGATATATTTTAGTGAATCGCTCAGACCTTTTTAAAAACTAAACATTGAAATGTGAAAGTGAAGAGTTCCATCCTCCTTTCAAATTTAAAATATAGAAAACTATGCTCGAACAAAATGGCTAAATATTTTCAGTTTTGATAATTCTAATGGTCCAGGTATTTGAATTTTTGTTTAAAAGTGAGTGTCAACCTTTCTAGCTGTATTTGGTGAACAGTTCCACAATTTTGATGTGGTGTACCTCCAGTCTCTACCATAGGCACAATTTTGCTATAGAGTACCTCCAATCTGTACCATAGGTGGTTGAATGTTCCTTAAGCAGGTTCCAGAGTCTGTACAAGGAGCACCTGAGCATTGTTAAGTCCAGCAAACTAGACAATTTGTGACAACTGACAAACCAGTGCTTTTTTTTTTCTTTTTTAAATAAGTCATGGCTAATACCGATAGACCTCAGTGCTGCAAAACAACTTTGACAAGCAGCGAAACGACTTGTAGCTGAATGACTTTGTAGCAAAACGACTGGTAACCGTTACATTTTATTCCACTCTAGGTGTCCTCAGGGGTTTCAATAAGCACCGACGGCCGATGAAACGTGTCGGCTACTTTGCTCATACAAGTCGGCTACTTTTTTTCTACAAGGAAGAAGGAACTAGTTTGAATAACTTTGTCAACAAAAAATATAATTATTGTTCATAAAGACCCACTGGTTTTATGTGATTCTTTAGTCATGTAAACGCTATGTTTCAGTCAGTTTTCACAGGTTTCTTTATAGGTTTACACAGAATTTGTTAACGTGCAAAAGTACGTAATTTAGTTTTCATCATTTGTTTATTGCTTGTAGGAATTGATTGTGACTGATCAATCAGAAGTTTAACGAAAGCGACACTGATTTTCTTGATTAAAAAACACGCTCTTTTGTCCTCAATTTAGCTCCCCAGAACGCTGAAAATCGCATCTTAGGGCTTTGAATTTTCAAAATTTTCTGGGGAAGCACGTCATCCCCCCCCCCCTCAGGGACTAACATGTCCCTTTTGATACATGGAGGATATTACAAGGCCGCGAGGAGATACGAAATTTCTCTTCGACGCGAGCGAGTGAAATATTTTTTCAACACGAAAAGATAAATTTCGTATCTCCAAGCGGCCTTGTAATGTTCTATTTATTATATAAACACCAATGAACTACCAAACCATTTCACTTTAATAGTTTTTTGGTGTGAAAGGCGCGATTTATTTTGAAGCCATAGCAACGGTGATATTTTCACATGTGAAAATACCAAGTTTTCGCGCGAAAGCTCACCTTGGTATTTCATTGGTGTTTATATAATAAGTCGGTTACTCTATTCAAACCTGCTGGCTACTTCAATGTTTATTGAAACCCGTGTGTCCTTCCATCCCAGTCCACTTCCCAAATGTGTTTTATGTGTTTGATTTAGGATGATGACGATGATGAGTGCCCAGAGAGTCCTCCAGCACCTGATTATTTCTCTCCACCTGCTTCACCTTGTATGCAGCTCACATCATCTGATACAGCACAGCATGAACGTGAAGAGGTTTTGCCATCAATACTTCCTGTGTACGTTTTTACAGTTTCATTTATAGTTGATGATATATTAATTTTATGGTGTCATTGTTTCGATGTAATCATGGCCTTTTTCTTCTTTCACCTCCGCAGTGATCAACTTTAAACTGTTTGAACTGTTTAATAATACTTACAAATTTTACAAGCATGGAATATCCACTGCCCGCCGTTAGCAGATTAGCTAGTGGAGGCCAGCAGTGGTTACATTCAAATAGCTCACAAGCAAGACTAGAGAAAAAAGGCAAAAAATGTTACTTGCTTATTCCTATTGTTAAGTAATAAGATTCAATCAAGATTTCAGGAGCTTGGGAACCATGTCCTTTGCAATTAATTTGTGGTGTTCAGCTTACAGTGTTGTATACCCCTATTCTCATGGTTTTTTCTTTTCTTAGGGCTGAAAAAAACTCTCATGACGTGCTTGAACCAATTCCGAAAAATGTAAGTTTTTGACGAACCATTTTTTTCACAGACTGTTTGCCTTAAGATGTATGTCTGATCTGTCCCACTGCAGCTTGATGCAATACAAGCTCTTTTGTGGTAATTTAAGTCAGTTAGCAGTCACATGTTGAATGTTGTGAATATGGTCACAAAAGTATATTTATATTATATTTATAATAACGTTTTGGTTTTTGTTTGGTCCTTGCCCACAGGCTCCAACCGTGAAGATCAAAGATATTTTGCATCAGGCACGTGTCGTCCATTATGAGACAATGGAGAGCATTTGCTCCATGTTAGAGAAAACTGGACCCGCCATCATCAATAATCTACCTCAACCTCTCCTTGAGGCACAGAGCTTAAGGTTTCTGTTTGGTCTCTTGTTTTACTTTACGTAAGGGTGCAGTGCTGACCTAGGGTGCCTACCATTGGTCATGACACCGACAGACCAGAAAGCCCTTTTTGTTATCTTCTATAAGTTTATATGACGTCAGAAATGTATGTTTATGCCTAGTTTAGAGTCGCGAACAAAGGCAAAAAAAGGTTAGCTATGACTAAGATACGTTTACGGGTGAAACCGAAAGAGGTCAGATTACAGTGGCATGATTCAGTTGCATTATTATTAAGCGTATTATTAACAAACGTCTTTCATGCAGAAAAAGATTACGAACGAAAGTTAGGCATCTTGAGGCAATGTTGAAACAGCGGGGAGAAAGAGCAGATGGGCCATTTAGGAGTGGTATGTACAAACCATCAATAATGTGAAACTCTATCCAGGTACCCGTACTTTTAAAGTTATCCCGTGATTAACAACATACATAGATGGACAGCCTCAACAAGACAAATACTAGTATGAAAATTGTTGATGTGAGACCTAAATGATAGGATTAGTGAATCTTCCCAGTACCAGTTTTCAATGTCCACTTCTGCTTGGAACTTCCCCTTGTCAAAATGTTCGTATTTGGTGTTGCCTATTGGTTTTTTGGACCTTTAATGTAAGTAGGTCTAAAGTGTATCATCGTTTGGGAAGGTTAGGAGCTAATTCAGACTAAACCGTACATAACAGTCGTCAGTTAATCTTATAGAAATTTGTGATCTAGGCATAGGTGACGGCAAAATTTATGTTCTGACACATAATCGTGACACTAATTAACTTAATTACTCAATAGTCAGCTCCAGGGGAATGCCATAGTCAGCGATGTGCTGATGTGCGTGTATTCCAACAACTTATTTTATAAGTAAAAAGTGCCAAAATATTGTTTTCTTTGTTATGCTTACAGTTGAAAGGCCCAGAACGTTTGTGGAACGTCCTTCGTCATATGCGCTGAACACTACACCTTGTGGGGAAAGTTTCTTTGAGAGAGAGGGCAGCATGGCGGCTCAATCTAACATCAGCTTGAATCGCGAGAATATTTCCACAGTGTCTGGAAACAACAGAAGACAATCTGCTGCAAATAATGCTGGTCAACATGCTAAAGTCCAATGTTCTTCCGTCAGTCCAGTATCTATGGCTTCTGAAGGCATGATGAATGATCACACAAGTAAAGATACGCATCTACTAGCTGAATTGCAAGACAGCAGTGATGATGAGTGGGCAAACACGTCTGCTCTTACTACAAATACTGGAAATAAGTTGTCTACAACTTCTCGTGTGGCTGATTGTGGCAGAAACATTAACTCATTTGAATCCACACCTTGCAATCAACAGAGAACTACGAGTCTTTCATTTCAGACCACATCATCCGTTAAAAGCAAAACTAGTATCAGCCTTAATTCCAGCTTCTCACCTCGGAGAATCAATATGATTCCAAACAACGGCAATGACAGTAAGTTGTCTATTATTTGGTCTAATATTAACCCTCGGTTAATGTCCAGCTAGGACTGCGTGCGCATGACTTTACATGGTCTAATGCACAAGAACACAAGAAGTCATTTTTGTGATGGCATCACTTTGCAACAATTTATGACCAGCCTTTCTTTCTTTCTTTCTTTCTTTCTTTCTTTCTTTCTTTCTTTCTTTCTTTCTTTCTTTCTTTCTTTCTTTCTTTCTTTATTTAATTACTTATTTATTGCCTTCTTGTTTAAATAAAGAAATTCCCGGCCGTGGTATTCAAACAAAAACAGCCCTATTAAGACGTAATATTATTGTATTCGGTGATATGTACTTTTTTGTCTCTTTTGGATGTTGTTTGATAGAAATAAATAAATGAAATTAATAAAGTTGTAGTGAACTGGTACAATCGTGAAAATTGCTTTTTGTTTTGATACTGGCCTGAACTGAACTTTACCACTGTAAATGGGAATAAGAAGTTGAAGCTTGCTGGGAATAGTGGATTGAAGGTAGCACTGACAAGTTGTTATGGGTTTTATTCATGAAAAGATTGTATCAGTTTATCCAGAATGCTGGCATTTTTTCCTTGCCTCTTCTGTTGAGCTGCTTGCACAAGTGGTGTCTACAAGTTTAATTTGAGTGTCTGGANTTATTTATTGCCTTCTTGTTTAAATAAAGAAATTCCCGGCCGTGGTATTCAAACAAAAACAGCCCTATTAAGACGTAATATTATTGTATTCGGTGATATGTACTTTTTTGTCTCTTTTGGATGTTGTTTGATAGAAATAAATAAATGAAATTAATAAAGTTGTAGTGAACTGGTACAATCGTGAAAATTGCTTTTTGTTTTGATACTGGCCTGAACTGAACTTTACCACTGTAAATGGGAATAAGAAGTTGAAGCTTGCTGGGAATAGTGGATTGAAGGTAGCACTGACAAGTTGTTATGGGTTTTATTCATGAAAAGATTGTATCAGTTTATCCAGAATGCTGGCATTTTTTCCTTGCCTCTTCTGTTGAGCTGCTTGCACAAGTGGTGTCTACAAGTTTAATTTGAGTGTCTGGAGAGGCAGCCATGCTTTGTTCGCTAAGAAATTTATCTTTTTTTTACAGTTGAATTGAAGCGAAAAGATTTGCCCTACCACAGAGAGATGTGGAAGATATTAAAAAATGTGTACAAGATCCGTTCACTAAGAACAAATCAGTTGGAAGCCATAAATGCTGCTATGATGAAGCATGACTGCTTTGTTCTTATGCCGACCGGTGGAGGAAAAAGCCTGTGCTTTCAATTAACTGCATTAATGGGCTCTGGGGTAACTTTTGTTATCTCACCTCTGAGGTCTCTTATTCAGGATCAAGTACAACGCCTTCAGTCTCTCCAGGTAAGTGTGCAGAGGCTATATCCTTTTTTACTGCACTTTTTGATTGTGAACAGGTTATTATTTGAAATAAATGGAAGGACAGGTCGCTGACGTGGAACAGGAGGTCATTATTACGAATAATAACCTACTGGTCCATTTCAGTGGCCGCAATAAGGATCTGCTGGTTCTAAAACAATGGAAACGTGCATTAAATCGGATAATGCCTCGCTTCCCGGCCTTCTTAAGCCTCGGAGCTCAGGCATTATCCCATAGATATTCTGTCAAGCTCTGTTTTCCTGTTGTAGAACAAACTTGAGTGACACATGTTTTCCAAAGTAAGATCGAACGTATCATCAAGGGCAACAGTCACACTTTCCAGAGGTTCTCTAATAGAAAAATTAAGGCAATTTTTCTCAGGATTAGTTGACTTTAAGACGGCATTGATGAACAAAATTAATAACTAAAAGATTGCTTGTCCATTAATCTATATTCCGTAAGTAGATTGATGGTCTGAAATAAGCAAACCTCCTTAGTAACTTATACTCTATAGAAAAAAGCATGGCAAAAATTGTCGTCAATATATGTTAAATTCTTAATGGTCTTTTTTAACTCGTGGGTACGCGCGAGCGTACCACGAGTTATTGCAGGGACAGGGATATGCAAATGAGTCACTCGCTCACTCGTAGTAGACGCACTTGGTAATTAATCGGGTCCGAACTCGAGAGCGCGAAGATCTTTCGTTTCCAAAGAAGCACGCGCTCGTTGAAGTTCGGTGGCATCAAATTCCTCGCTGAGAGCGTGCATCGTGCGCTACAGCACGGTTAGAGGATAGAGGTCTTACCAAATTTAAGACACGCAGGAATCTTTCAGATTAGTACGATTCTAGAGCCTTTGACTCGTCCAGGCGTTAAACTTGACGAGAAGATGAGCATTTGCTCTTCGACTCCTTCAACTTCGACGCTGGCTTGATCTCCTACCTTGTTGCCCCCGCAGAGGCGAAATCCCGAGGAGGCACCCTAGTAACTCGCGCGTATATTAAGGACAGTACTTACAGTTCAAATATACAGTCAGTATACTAGAAAAAAACTCGATTTGCTCGAACAGGGGCCGCGAGGAATCGGTAGGTAATGATGACGTTTCTATTGTTTGCGCCCGCAAGTACGAAATGGTAAGGATGACGTAAAGACAAAATTTCGAAGGGACCGCTCTGGTAGATTTTGTGACATTTTTTGTGCAGTCATACTTCGATACTCTTTTGCGTTACGCAGAGACATTCTGTGGAGCAGTTGTTTTGAAAGTTATGGGCCAAAAGACACTCGTTAAGCGCAGATGAGGTTATAAGGTGCGTTTAACTGTGTATATATAAACACTTGGAGGTTTGCCAGACACGAGTTCACAAATCATTGATTTATATTGGAAACCTTGGCAGACACTCTGTCTCTCTCTTTGACCGCAATAAGACTCAGCCCCAAACAAGGAAGACGAGTGAACAACGGCTAGCCTATCACTAGCAGATTGATGGATAATTACATGAATTCGCCGACAATGAAATTCTGTGCTGACTTTTTCCCTGCTCACAGATGTCCTTGCGTTTTAAAGTTTCAAATAAGACTAGAATGCGCGAGCGTGAATCGATGAAACATCCAATTTATAAGGCTTACTTTCCGGCAAATACAATGAACTGAATGTAAAAAGTGAAAGAGAAATAGCGAAAAATTCAACTTCTAATTAAATCTTTTCGTATGGTTTAGAATAAACTATTCTCGAAACTGAGAATGTTTTGATCAAAGCTGTGTAAATCAATCGAGCTGAAACTGTGCATGGAACCTTGGGTTTCCTGTATCTATCTCACCTATTGTATGGAATGTGTGAAAATCTTCATTATGAATCGGTATATTTCAAAGAGCTACACAACCAGCGAGAATACTATTGACCGACAATATACAGAACGGGGGCAGCTGTAGTGTCAACTATTACTAGTAGTAATGTAGTAGGTTATGTGTATGAATGAATGTATGGTAAATAAAGGCACTTCTTCTTCTTCTTCTTAAGGACTCCCCAAGATCACGGGGGGAAATGGATGTGATTTTGAGCGTTAGCTTTAAAATGACAGCGGAAATCGAGATAAGAAAACATAAGCTTATGTTTTGCGTCCTACTTCGGACCACTTCGCGGAGGAGTTGTGTCGGCTTTGTATCGCATATGTTCTTTCATTGCCATGAAATGCGTTTACATTGTTTTTTACCGTCAGTAGCCTGGTTTCAATTAGCCTTAATTTTATCCGATTGTTTCGAGTCGTTTTTTTCAATCGGTTAAGTAAGGTTCGATCGTTTGCCGGCGGAAGTTCCATGAAAAAGGCATTAAATTTGAGAGTTTTCACCAAACCATGTGATCATCCTCAGTGGCGTAGTGGCTATGTGAGGTCGGGTCAACCCGAAGGTAACGGGTTCAAATTCTGCTTTTGACCTTCTTTTTCCCTTCTTCCTTTTTTTTTCTTTTTTGTTTTGTTTTGTTTGCTTATTTGTTTTGCTGGGTTTTTTTTTGTTTTTTTGTTTTGTTTTGTTTGCTTATTTGTTTCGCTGGGTTTTTTTTTTGTTTTTTGTTTTGTTTTTAAATATATACCTAAATAACTGTTAATAAAGTGCAATAAACAGCAAGAAAAGTATTGTGTTTCCAGAACAAGGATAGTATATTTGTAATCTGAATTTATATCATTTCCTAAAATTTACTGTGGGAAAACCAGAGGTGATAACTGATTGATTATTTTCTTAACAACGTGCCCACGGGTTGACGATAGTCTTTCTTTGATTAGCTACCTGCTGTGCATTTACTTGGTGATACTGGGGCTGGTTCCACAAAGCACTTGAATTCTGTCTACCAAGACTTGTCGCTCAGGAATCCAACCATTAAACTTGTATATGTGACACCAGAGAAACTTTCGGCCAGTGACAAGCTTCTGTCTGTTATGAACAGCCTGTACACCCGTGGGTTACTTGATAGGTAAGCTGTTAAACCACATCAAGTAAGAGAACTATTATTATATATTTGTGCAGACTAGGAAAATGAGCGGAATGTTGCTTTGGTGCGTGGGCTTTTTCATACGATTGGTTTTAGCAGGTTTCCTGGAAAAATTCACAGTCAAATTTCTTCTAAGCGCTTTCCATTAAGCAGTCACTTGTCGAATTCCTGGAAGTTATTTACCTTACCATGATTTAATTTGCCTCCAACTCTATTGAAATGTCATTCAGTTATGAAGGATGGCTTGAAATCTCCTTTTCTTTTGTACAAGGAGAGAACAAAAACCTCTAAGAAGGATACATCTCCTTGCTTGTCACGTTTTGTCTTCTTTTCTTGATATACCTACAGACTTGAACGATCAGCCTCAAGTTAGCAAATTGGCCAATACCCAAGGGTGACCATGTGTCTTACTGTTTCTTTGCCTTCTCCCTCTTTTTGTTCAGAATTAGGACCGTTCTGCATGTTTTAGAAACTTTTGTATTGGTTGCAGGATCGTAATAGATGAGGCCCACTGTGTCAGTCAGTGGGGCCACGATTTCCGTCCAGACTACAAAAAGCTGTCGTCTTTAAGGACTAAGTACCCGAAAGTCCCTTTTATGGCGCTCACTGCTACTGCCACACCTCGTGTACAAAAGGATGTTCTCCACCAGCTGAAAATGCCAAAACCAAAATGGTTTGTACTTCTAAATTCCTTTACCACTTTTCATTATTCATTGTTTGAACAGTCTTTTTGGTGCTTAGTGCTTCCTAATTGTTTTTTTTTTTAAGAAATATAAATGAAATTAAATAAACTTTCTCACACGCAGAAAAAGAAACAAACCGTTTTTAGGAAATTGGTGAAGACTAACAGAAAGAAAGTCATTTTTACAGAAGCGAGTATTTACTAGCCCAAACGTCATTTCAACTACCCTCCAAAATTTTTGGATGAGCAGAATTGATTTCACAGTCCTTTTGTAAGGTGAATTCCTCAAAATACTTCACTTGCCTGTCGGGCAAGTTAAGAACAGAATTAACAAGCCTGATAGCAAAATCCACTAGCCCCGAACCGTCGGACACTACTTTCTATGCACGCTGAACAGTCTAACAGTCAAACCCTGTTAATACGGACACTGAAGGGACCATAGGGGTGTCATTACTAAGCAGGTCATGTTATTTACGTCATAAAACACCTTTTATTAGAACAAAATACTAAAGAAATAAAAGAGGACATTAGCATCGTTAAATTACTGATCTCTAACCTTCACAAACCATCATTCCCCTGACTAATTCCACGAAAACGCTCAAAAATAGCTTAACTATATATTACTCAATCAAAACTGTTTTCTTCATAACTCGTTTGATGCCAAAAAAGTCTGAAATTGAGGTATACGAATCATCCTCCCTAAAGTACTGTAGCGCTGGGGAACAGCAACATTCCGTCAAATAAAAGTTTTTTTACCTTCAGAGAGGAAAGGTATATTACAGCATACCATCAATGATTAAGTGTCCGCATTAGCAAGATTGACTTTATGAGAATCTGTTGATTGGGCAAAAAAAGTGTCCCTTGTCCACATTAACCGGTGTCCATATTAAGCTGGTTGAATGTATAGGAAATGTAAAGATTTTTCCCAGGGACACAGAAAACTGTCTGCAATGACGGGTGTCTGTTAAGTGGGGTTCGAGTGTATTTGTTTACGTCACCACCTCCAACAGTATCTTTTGTTGTTTCGGAAGGCTGGCCGGCTATACTGCATGGTTAAGCTTGAGAGAAGGGAGGTTCGTGCACCTTCTATCTTGTCGTTTATTACCTAAGTATACAATGTGGCTCAGACTGTGGAAGATTCTAGCCAACTTTGTGTGGAATTCATTACACAGGAACGTGAAGTTTCAGTCGTTCAAAACTTATAATAAATAAGCCCACCTTATAAAGAAACGCTCGATCAAAAACAAGTGAAGCTGTTACATTTAAAGACATTTTACCTCTATTAACCATATTTAAAAAAACTCTTGCATTGGTTCTACTCTTTTCTTGTTTGTTTTTTTTTTCTAAATTTATTCTTGTGTATGTCATTCAAATCTTCCTTCCTCTTGCATACCCCCATTAGCCTTTGAAAGATGCTAAAGGTGTTTCGAAGACCAAAAGGCAATACATTTCTTATAAAAAATATATCAAATGAGCAACAAATACCGCCAGAGAGATTCGCACTGTGGGTCTTATCAATGCATCTGTGTCTGTGCCAGACTGGATTAGGAGTAATTAATCCATAACCGTAGGTTCCTTTTTTGTTGTATCTTAAATGAGGGGAAGATACTGATTTTAACGCTATGCCTTACTTAAAAGTTTATCGGTTATTTTTTTGGTGCTGCACAACAACAATAAGAGGTTTATCAATACTGTTTTCTGTTGAGGTTAACATACCGTAAAATTCCGAAAGTAAGCCCCTCCAAATATACGCCCCCCAAACTCGTAACGCAAAAAACCCTCTGTTAAATGCCCTTAAATACAAAGTAAAACAAAGCAAAAAAGGTAAGTTTCCTTCCAGTTGAAAGGCTAGCCCAATCGATTTTGAAACGCAAATTTACCACCGTAGAAAAGCCCCTCCAAAAATAAGCCCTTCAAAAGGGCCTTTGAAAAACATAAACTCCGGGGCTTATTTTCGGAATTTTACGGTACCCAGTGTCGTTGTGTTCCTTTTTGATTCTATAGTGTCTTTTTGGGCTGGTAAAACACGCAGCAGTTTAACAGCAACCCTAAATATGGTCTTTGGTGGTGACATGTGACTGATGTTTTAGATGTTCATAAATGCCACTTTTGAGAACGTATCACTTGGTCGTTCTATTAGTAATTGTACCGTTGTATTTTCGATTCATGCTGGGACTTGCCTAAGCCTCCGTTTATCTTTAATTTCCTGCAAACTATTCTTTTACCATCAGATGTTATTAAAACTTTACCTTCTCTTAATCAATGTCAGGTTTACCCAGAGTTTTGATCGACCGAACCTGAAATTCGTTGTAAAACCAAAGAAAAAGGTTATGGACGAAATACTCAAGTATATCAAGACCAAACATGCTGTTTCCTCTGGCATTATATACTGTCTATCCAGGTTTGTAATTACCTTTTTTTATTATGGGTTTGTAATAATAGATAAGAAATTATTTGTAGCACCTGACTTTATGACGGATCAATTTTTCTTTTTAAAAAAACTCCTAGTTTCCTTTCAAATATCGAATTACGTTTCTGTTAATCTTAATCGCCTTTGCAATGTGATGCAAAAGGATGGCTGTGTTGGAAGGGATTTGCTCAAGCGCCAGACAATTGCATCTGTTATCAGAGCAAAGCATCATTAAAAAAATTGTTAAGTTGTTCAAAGATCATATATAATTTGCGTAGTAGGAATTAATTTATTATTAGCGTTGACTCTAACGAAACAAAAAACTTGTTTATGTTGCTGAAAGGATTGATTGTGAGCGTGTAGCGGATTCTTTAAATGAAGCTGGTATCAGTGCAGTGGCTTACCATGCCGGCCTTTCTGATGAACAAAGGACAAAGTGCCAAGAAGCCTGGATCAATAACCGATACAAAGTAAGCCAACTGAACAGCGTTAATCAAAGGTCATGTGCAACTTGTTCTCTCGCTTGGAGATCATTTTTAGTGGTTTATTCCGGCAACGTATTTTGAATTTTCCCATGTTAATGCATTCTGGTTTTCTTAATAGGTGGTTTGCGCTACAATTGCCTTTGGAATGGGTATTGATAAAGGCTCAGTTAGATATGTCATTCATCATTCTATGCCCAAGTCATTGGAGGGGTATTATCAGGAGTGTGGTCGGGCAGGACGAGATGGTGGACTGGCTGAGTGCATTCTGTTTTATTTGTATGGTGATACTACCAGAATAAGGAGGTCAGTTGTGTACAAGCCTTTATTGCTTAGAGCATTAACAGTGGCAGCGGAGTTATTCATAGTTATTGATCTGAGAAAGGTTAAAATTTTGTCCTGGAAAAATTCGAAATATTTCTTTCACCAGTAATATTTTTTAATGTTTACAGATCCGGCACTCTGCACAAAAATAAGAGCAAACCGACATACCGTAAAATTCCGAAAATAAGCCCCTCCATGTATAAGCCCCTCTAAATATAAGCCCCTCAAACCGGTAACGCAAAAAAAACCCCGTTAAATCGCCCCTCCAGATATAACCCCCCCGGGGGCTTGTACTTGGAAAATTGCCCTCAAATACAAAGCAAAAACGGTAAATTTACTTCCAACTATAAGACTAGCCCAATCGATAAGCCCCTCCAAAAATAAGCCACTCAAAAAGGGCCTTTGAAAAATATAAGTCCCGGGGCTTATTTTCGGAATTTTACGGTATGCTAAAATTAGAACTTGCCTAACATAAGCCGTACTGTTGAACTTAAGTGAAAATGTGGCGCCCGCAAAATCAGTTTTTCTTTCCAATTGCTTAAATTGGAAAATTTACTGCGATGATCATTCTTCACTTTCATCTACGACCGCAGTTCAAAAATGAATTATTTCACATATACTTCACATCAGTGTTCATTCATAACAGTCGTTCAGAGAACGGTCGAAAAACAACAGCTTCAGCGCCGGCTGTGTGTCGGAGAATTTCAGTTGCAACTTCGACTTTCATAGCTAGATTTCCCCAGACAGATTTCGATACAAAGCTTGTTAATTTCTTTTTAAAATTAGTGTTACCTGTTATTCTAAAGGAATTACAGTCAAATTTTCTCATTTCTACTTTACGTTTATTTCAAAAATTGTCACATAAATAAGCTTGATAATTATTTCATTTATTTAGTTTTAGCTTATTTTTTAGAGTCTTTTTAGTTGGTGTTTATAGTTGCAGCTATAGTTTTCCCTCAAAGTTTTTACCCTAATATTAAGAGCAAGTAGACAGGTGCCATTCACAATAACAACAAAAAACGTTTTGCAATTTACCTGAAGACGGAGAACGGTTGATTCAGCGAAAGAAAAACTCAAAGGGGCAGGAAGATGGTAGCATACATGAACTCGGACCGATGACTCAACCGAAGGCAAATGGAAAATAATGTTTTTCTCTTTTGATTATGTTATAAAAGGAATAGTAAACGTTGCAGCTGTGCAACCATGGAGTTATGGATGCACTTGGGAGGTTTGCTAAGCACTCAAGAAGCTAGAGTCGTACTCGGCTATCGCCTCGTGCGACTCTTACGCTTCTTTCGTGCTTAGCAACCTCCCGCGTGCATCCATAACTCCATGGTTGCACGCTGCACGTTTACCATTTCTAAACGTAATACTGAGAATAGAATATACCTGATGCTTTTTTGAATCCATTCCCGGACCTTTTCAGTTAATTGAAATCTTGATCTCGTAGGTTATTTCAGCTGATTTTGATTACTTACAAACATTTCTCATTTGAATGTTGTATGTGGTATGAAGGATGATCCAGAATGATCCAGGCCGGAACACAGACTGCAAACAAGTGGATATGGACAACCTCTTTCGTGTGGTGCAGTATTGTGAGAATGTGACTGAGTGTAGAAGAGTTCAGTTGTTGCATTACTTTGGTGAGATGGACTATGATCCGTCCCAATGCCGCAGTAGGGCTGACAGCATGTGTGACACGTGTGCTTCCTCTGACTCGTTTGTGTATAAAGACATCACATCAGAAGCTAAGGCGTTTGTAGAGAATGTCAATTCTATTGTGCACAATGGAAACAGGAATTGGAGACAGCCTGTTAGGAGTTTCACTTTAAATCACTTTGTTGACATTTTCAAGGTACAGTTTATATTTTTTAGAAAATTAATTTCTATGTAAGATGCATTGGCTAAGTTGTCAGTGCCACAACCGCGAACCTCTAAACTGTTTAGGGGAATTCAATTCTTCTCTGACCAATCCCAATGAAGTTTTGATAGTTTGCAGATAAAGTCGCCTCTCTTTGCTAATAGCAGCAGGGGACGATTCGAAAACAACGACAACAAAAAAACATTCCACTACATTTCTCGCAGCAGCAAGCAATGCAAAGAACACCAACAACCCACAAAACCACTAACTTATTACTGTCGCTGCTTATAATTTATCCTGCCTAGCTGTTCAGGAGCACAGGACAATAACATTCCAGAAATATTTCCGTTTTTGTTTGCTGTTTTTGTACCTTGCAGTAATGGCATTTTTTAAGTTTGCGTGTATTTGCACTTTATTTTCCTTTAGCACTTGTTGAAGCTCTCTTAAGAGCTCAGTGTCTGCTTGTTCGCACTTTTAACATATTCCAAAACCATGTAGTTTCCTTCCTTATTGTGTACCCCCTGACAAGAATGACAAGTTCAACTATCTTTTACGCTGCTTTACTCACAATTATACCTGGTAATACAGGGTTCTGGAGGTGCGCGTGTGTCTTCTGAAGGACATGACAGATGTTCTTTGTTTGGCTTGGGAAAGTCCTACCACAGAAATGATGCTGAGAGACTCGGTCATCTGCTTGTTTTGAAGCATATTCTGGCAGAGCATATGGTGATTGGTAACCATGACAACGTTATCAGTTACCTTAAGTTAGGGCCTAAAGCTTTGGACTTTCTTCAGTCTAAGATCAAGGTACAGTTACTTGATAATACGGTGACCGGAAGTAATTTTTTCCCGCCACCTGTCAATGACCTCAAGTTTAAGATACCAGGACGGTGGTCAAAACGTCGCTTTTTAACAAAAATTGAGTTCGCACTCTTTTTCCAGACTTTTTGGCGATTATAACAAGTCGCTTCAAATCTTCATCATTTTGAATTTGACGATTGACCC